GGGTAATGTCATGAAGTGCCGCTTTTCCCCCCATCTTTTCCCTTTCTTAGCGCCCATTCCCCTTTTAGCGCCTGTTTGATACTTTGATCCCCACTAGATACCCAGTTCCCCTTTCCACATCACTCCCATCATTTCCTTCCTTGTTCTTTCACATCATCTTCATAACTGATCCCATCTATTGTTCCCTTTGTTCTCCTTGTTCTTTCACATAACCTTCACAACTGATTCCATCTATTGTTTCCATTGTTCTCTTTGTTCCTTGACATACAACAGTTACTCGTTCCAGACTCGTTCTTGTTCTATACCTGGACTACTGTTGTTCTCCCCTTGTTCCCTATTATCTTTCTTTATTCTCGCACAACTCACATTCTAGTATATAAGCTAGGTAGTTTACACCTGGTCCCTCATCTTGACCTCTTGTCATTGGGATCAGGTGAGTAGTACTTCTGTTTTCTCCTTCATCTACAATATATCTAACTTGTCATTGGGATCAGCTCCTTTATCTGCCTTTGCTATCTGCTCGCTGTCTCAGCCATCTCTGCTGTCGTCTCCGCTAGTCGACTTCTGCCGCCGTCGTCTCTGTATCCGAAGTCTTTGCATCTAGCGCTTTAGGACAATCCCAACGATCTCTCTCTTTGCGCAGCTGTTCCAATTCATGTTGTTCATAGATGCAAGATTCCCCTGTTACACGGCGTCGATCTCCCTTCTGTTTGCGTCCAACCTCAGTCTGCTGCAGCTCATGCATACAGCCATTCTGTAACGCTGTTCTTGCCTGGTAGGTTACTACCTCATTTTATGTGTCACTGAGAGCCTTGATTAATTTGCTCGGTGTTGTTGGGGGATTAGCAATGAGGTTGTCTACTCTTTGGAGGAGCAGGTTTGTCCTTTCGCGTTGTCTTGGGGTGGAAGGGTCATCAAGGTCTGTGGTGTTGGTGTCAGAGATGGGTGTGAGAGGTGAGGACAGTCGAGGGAGAGGGTTATCCCGCTTTTCACGGTAGGCCTTGAGAAAGTCAAACCGATTGGGGTTGTAAGGGTAGATTCTGGCCCATTCAAATCCAGCCACGATATTTGTTCTTGTGAAGGCATGTTCCCGTGCTTCAGGCAACAATCTAGACCATTGATATGATTAAGAGAAAGGTAAGGAGTGTATCATCTCACCTAGCAAAATCTTGTTTAGCGAGAGCGACACTCCCAGCTGATTCCCGTGCCACTGCCTCTCCATACACCTGTTGATACGGACAAAAGCATGCCACATCGAGAGGCTGTAACACCCCACTCGTCTTTGGTGGTAGACCACAGCACACAATTTTGTGCTCCCATGCGAAGCTCAGGGACGCAACATCAATATAACACTCGTGGTTGTCAAATATCAACCCATGCCATTCTCCATCTGCCTTCTCTCGTGTCAACGGCTCAAAACACTTCTTCATCCATCCTAAATTCAACTCGTGGTCAATCCATCCATTCAGCAAGCAAGAAATCCAGCTTCTCTCTAGCCGGGAGTCTTTGGACCATGCATATGATGGCTGTGCGCCCTTCATAATGATGAACGGTGAGAGTGCCTCCCCATCTGCACTAATACAGTCTATAACTGTCACAAGCTCGCGGTTACCGTCCTGAGGAACAGTTGCCTTTGCTGAACCCCCCACATAGTCCTCCCAGCCATGTCTGATTACCAACACATGTTCCCGCCAGGAAACACCCAACAAAAACCCTTTCTCGTTCATGTTGTACAGGTTACAGGGTTTGATGTTGTATGGCTAGCCTGTCCTAAAGTGCTAGACGCTAAGACTTTGGATACAGAAGCAACGGCGGCAGAAGTCGACTAGCAGAGACGACAACGGAGGCGACAGAGACAGCAAGCAGAGAGCAAGAGCAGGTAGATAACTGGTCCCAATGACAAGTTAGATATATTGCAGGTAAGGAGAAACGGAATTAACTACTCACCTGGTCCCAATGACAAGAGGTCAAGATGAGGGACCAGGTGTAAACTGCCTAGCTTATATACTGGAATGTGAGTCGCACGAGAATAATAAAAGATAATAGGGAACAAGGAAAGAACAATAGTAGTCCAGGTATGGAATAAGAACGAGTCCGGAACAAGTAACTGTTGTGTATAAAAGAACAAGAAGAACAAAGGAAACAATGGATAAGGTGGGTTGTGAAGACAATGTGAAAGAACAAGGATGAGGAGGAAATGATGGGAATGATGAAGAAAGGGGAACCGGGTATCTGGTAGGTGTCAAAGTAACAAGTGGGTGTCAAAGTGACAAATAGGCGCTAAAAGGGGAATGGGCGCTAAGAAAGGAAAAGATAGAGGGAAAAGCGGCACTTCATGACATAGCCCAGCAGTCTCTCCAACTACAAAAAGGTCAGAAAATCTTTAATTATCGAAGAGACCAACGAATCCTTACGTTATTGAAAAACTTGTCAAAGCGGATTGGGTCTTGTGTAGCACAATTCCAATCAACATCCTGTTTCACCAAGAGCATGGTCTTGAGCTGGGGGTACTGCTCCTCGAGGTGCCAAAGCCATCCTGAACCAACCCTATCATCACTCTGCCTCTCCTCCAGTATGTTATTTGCCCTTTGAATGACCAACTTTGTTGACATGTGTAGTCCCCAGTTGTCCAACTCCTTCAGCCAATGAAAAATCTCTTCCTCCTCAACTGGGAGCAACTTCATTTGATGCTGGTGAGCTTCAGATCGAGTTTTTTGTCCATTTGCATGGTGCCATATAGTCGAAGCCAACAGGCCTTGACATTTAGCCACCACTTTATATGTTGACCCATTCTTGTGGTCCTCCAATGCCAGTTTTATCCTATTTTCTCTCTCCTCCTTGGCTTTTTTCTTTCTCTGTATCTTCGTACCACTCGGCCTCCCTCTTTTGGGTTGTTCAGATCTCATGAGATACAGGTGACAAGGATGTGGAAGGCATAAAGGTGTCAATGAGCAGGACTTCGCACGACGTGAATCACTCTCTAGAACTTGCACGTGACTATTTTGCTTCATTGGGAAAAATAGTCTCGCTGCTATTGCACGTTTCTCAGCTCTCGTGGTGCACCACTCACAGTCAAAAATCTGGAAAAATTAACATAGTATACGTGACTATAGACTAGTTGATGTAGCTCAGAAACATGAAGGAATACTAATATTTAAACCACCGGTAGGCCATTTTTGCGATTACGTTTCGCTTCCTATTTTGCTACAGTACCTGACCACCAACTTGTTTGGCATAAACCCAATTACTTCCCGGTTTGTGTGAGTGACAAAAGTCTAGGGGAATGTTCCCCCCTATACATTCCTAAGCACGGGATCGGGAAAAACAAATGCACCCGTGTCCAAATCTCATGCCGTGAAAGAAGTGTAGGTTCTCTAAGCCACAATTGTCTTGTAATACCGCTGAATGGGCTTGCCTAGCGGTCGTTTGGCTTGCCTCGTGAACCGCCAGATGCGTCTTCCTACAGGAATTGGGGTCAATATCTCATCTTCATAATGTGGGATGAGTAGGACTTACCAGTCATGAAGGTCAACACCTGATTGAATATGACGATGGCCATAACGTTCCCATTGTTAATTCTGTAGGTCTTGAAGAACACTTTCGTGTTTGCGGGGTTGCTGAGTTCACCGACAAATTATACTGAGGATGATCACAGTTACGAGATTGATGCCTGTGAGGTGCAGAGAAATGAGGACCACTAAGTATATCCAAGCACTGTACAAGCAAGGATATTTGAACACCACTGACTGTTTACCACGAGCAAAACCATAGCTGGTGTGTATAAAACCAATCTGTTCTGACCCCAGATTGTATAGCACCGGTGTATCTGCATTATGACCACAGAGTTAGACACTGAACTGTGAAGTCGAGACTCGTGTCCTCACTTACCAGCATGCAATCTGCGACGGTACTGCAGTATATCAAGGGCCAAGGTGAGAGTCAGATACGTCGCGTCAGTAATTGATGCAAGCACGTTACTCGATCCTGAATCTTGTCTTGGGCTCCAAGCACGATATTAAGATGGATTGAATATGGAGGACGAGTACGACCCAAACGGCCTTCCAGGGGTCCTTCCTCGTTCATTCGATAGTCTAGCTGCCTATGAGGTAAGATGTAGATAATCCTCAATGACATATTTGGTGGACAAATCACGCTGAAGCCTCTTCGAGATCAAAAACCCACGAGAGATAAGATAAAAGGCCAGATACCGCCGACCACCCCAACACATTGTGGAATTGTAGCCTCCATTTCGTCTCAGAGACGGGAACAACTCTGAAAATTCAATAAAAGATGTGAATATACACCTAACAAATCCATAGCACACACGAGCGGCGACACAGGACTTCCAGCGAGACTCCCAGGTCCCCTTCGGTCTCAAACCGCACCTTGAAGCTTGGTTGTCCATAGAAGTGCTCGCGTCAGACATATACCTCAAATTGCACACAAAAGAAATGGGTCGCGCACCGGTATTTTTTTGTAGAAATGGAGGAGGATAGGGGTGATGAGTGTAGGATAGGCTTTTACGTGCGCTGCCGAAAGAGCCTTTCATGAAGGCACTGTCTACCTCGAGAATCCTCGGGAGTCGGTTGTCGTTATCACTTGTTTGTACACATCGCATGAAAAAAGCCGTCGGCGCGAGTCTCGAGATATGTAAGGGCCTAGGGTGGAAGTTGAGAAGTGTCGAATTGTCCGGGATGCATCACCGACACCGTGAAATCAAAAGTTCAGAGGAAAAGAGAAAGAGAAAGAACAAAAAAAAAATAGTACACAAGATTGGCATTGGGGGTACCGCGGATCGAACGCGGGACCTTCAGAACACAAAGTTTTCGGATCGGCATGTCTGCACTCGCTCCACTTCAGTCTGCTGCTCTCCCAGCTGAGCTATACCCCCGTTGACCGATGATAGGAAGGAAGACCCTACAGCTCTCGCTCGGGCTTGACGTACATGGTGTCCCCAGTGGCAACAAGAAATGGTACATCCTACGCATTCAAAGTCTTCCGCCGACGTATCATATGCAAGAGCTTAGTAAATTATGGAACTGTAGCTTCCGTTCGGCATTTTGGGGATCTTAACAGTGCGGTTTACTTCAAAAAGGTCGCATAAGTATCTCTGGATTCTGGGTGACTCGACGAGGGGGCCAAACCATCCGTATAGTCGTGATGGAACTCGAAAACAAGCTCTGGTTTATATGGTCCATGCCAAAGAGAAACTCCGCTGAGTCGAGGCTCGGCCCTGCGGACGCATATTAAGTGAAAGGTTGTTGATTGACATTGGTCTGTTGTATGACCGGCACGTTGATATGGGCGGGGTGTTAATGGCAGGCGGCAGGCCTGATATCCCCGATCTCGCTCTGTGGTCGTTTCTCGGGGGTCACAGCGCTCAGCACTGTCCATGAAATTGAGGTATGTTCTCCCAAGTCCGAGCAGGCTTGATTCTCTGTTACTTTCCAACAACTCGTTTGAATTTGCATGGCCCGAGTCGGAAAGCGAGCTGTGAGGGACATGGCGGCCAAACAGGAAAACAAAAAAAAAGGTTGCGTGATTACTCTACTTTGGAAGGAAAATCAGTACGGGCGAAAGTATCAAGAGAGTATTTGGGGAGCCTAGCTTCGTCAGTTTCGCGCCTACTGCCTATCCCTTCACACAATGAAAGAAAATAGGTTAATATACTGCTGGTTTATACAATGTACATGGACATAACAGACATCCCAAATGCACATTGCATCATCTACACACGAGACGACTACACGTTAGCTGAGATCAGCCTTCAGGAGTAGTGGGTCCAACTTCCCGCCCAACCAGATGGCGTGACCGCTTAGCCCCATCCTACCCTGAGGCTGGAAATGGGACAGTCGACAAGTCCAGAATTGTCCGTGCCTGCTGACGGTGTGAAAATGAGATATGTACTTGCAAGAAAAAGGGGAAAAAAAGTGTTTATACACTCAGTCCTAGTCATGATGAACAAGGAAAGGAAAAGAGAAAGAACGAGGGAAAAAGTACGATGAAGGTTGGATTGGGGGTACCGCGGATCGAACGCGGGACCTTCAGAAAGCCAAAGCTCCACACGGATTCTGACTTCAGTCTGCTGCTCTCCCAGCTGAGCTATACCCCCGTTGGTAAGTAGTGAGGCTTTGGGAATTATATAGGGGTTCGGGAAGAGTTGAGCGCCAAGCATTGCGATGACTGACAGTCTACAGGAATGCTGCGAACTTTGAATAGACATGTAAATTCAAGATAGAGGTCTGATATCTAATAGTTATCGCCGTTACCTCCATCGTCGTCATCAGCATCAACAACATCAACCGTCAAAGCCCTCTTTCACTGTAAATCTTTTCGCTTCGAATCCATCAAGGTCTCGTGCTGAAGTCGGCAGCCCAAAATCACCGCCGAACGTAACGGATAACGGATGCGTTTTGACTTTGGGCTCCACAAAAACGGCTATTGACCCTGAGCAATACCGTGACCGGGACGCGGGAGCACAAGAAAGGGAAAAGGGGACCAGAGTAACACTGCGCTCGTTCTCGTCTTCGCCCTCGTCTCCTCCCTTTGCATGATGGAACGACCAGCGAGCAGCAGCGGTGCTCTAACGAGCAGCCGAAGAGCACCGCTTGGACCTCGGACGTTACCTCTTAAACGCCATTCGACGACGAGTGCAGGCAAACATTCGCATTCGCACTCGAGAGCTGGGAGTGTGAAGAGTGTGTCGAGTGTTGAGGGTGTTAGTGTCAATGTGGGTGTTAGCGTTGTTGGGGATGCACCGGAAGAAGAAGAGGAGGAGGAGGAACGACAAGAAATGGTTGATAACGGCAACAGAGAGGAGGAGCATGCGGAGGAAGAGGAAGAACCCACGAATCCGATCACGACCGCCCCTAATATTAACAACGGTGATGAAAATCATCTTCCTCCTTCTTCTTCCCCTTCTCCCCCATCACCCCCTCCACCACCACCACCACCGCCTATGGTAGACCCCCCACCTTTGGCACCCACCCTAACCGTCCCACCTCTCCCAACATTCACCCCTACATCCACATCCCCGTCATACAAAGCCTTACCCTACGAAGCCGCCCAATGGACATTCACATCAACCGAACTACAAGATATCGTCTCCCGAGCCATCCGCTGTAGCGCCCGAGAATCCTTCGTCCGCTTGTTAAGCCTCAAACTCCTCGATACCATCCTCCCAGACGAATTGGCGAGGTTATCAGACCAACGACTGAGCACGACGGGCAAGTACCGATGGACGGTTCAGAGACGGAGTATGCTCATGCAGGGGTTGTGGGCTGTCGTCGTTCTCAACACTGGAACCGGAACGGGGAGTGTGGATATGGGACCAGCGGCGACGTCGTTGTTGACGCAGCTCTCGGAGGTGGTGGCAGATTGCGATCGGATGGTGGAAGAGTTGGTTAGGGTGGGTGATCAGGTTAGAGAGATTGGGGGGTTGGTGGATAATCATTGGGCTAGTGCCTTGGCTGTTGCTCTTAGAAAGGTGCGTCTCCCTTCATCATCTCATCCCATTTTTCTTTCTTTTACTTATCCCTTATTTACTTTTCCTGATCAGCTCAACTCATCCTACGCCAAACGAACCTCCGAACTCCTCACCACCCGCGACCGTATCACCCAACTCGAAGCCGAACGAGACGACGCCTGGAAAGAAGCAGAAAAAGTCGCCAAACAACTCGACCACACCGAACAAGAGTACAAAAAACTCGAAGACGAGAACAAAAAGATCCGGTCCAGCCTCGTCTTCAAAGACGTCGAATTCAAAGGTGTCGTAGGCGAACTGGCTCGAGAAAGACGCGTCTCGACGAATTCGATGAAGGAGGTGGAGAGACGCAAGTGGGCTGAGAACGAGGTGGATAGGTTGAGAGGCGTCGAAGAAGAGTTGGAGAGAGTTAAGAAGGAGCTGGAAAGAGTCGAGAACGAACTCCGAGAGGCTAAAGAACGAGTCAGCCGGGTCAAGCTACGCTCTCGGTCAATCAGTCGTACCCGGCACAAAGACAAAGAAGACGATCTCGAACGAGAAAAACGCGAATGGGAAGCTGCGGTCGAAGCTCGGGCAAGACAGGAAGCACAAGCTCAAACCAATAAGCATCGAACACTGGCCACGGCGACGTTGGTCCCCGTCCCGATCCCTTCGTCCGTTTCGATTCCACCCCTGTCACCCGTTTCCGTTTCCGTTTCAGCCTCACCCAATTCACCTGTGGGTCCCGGATCGCTAACGCGTTCGTCGACGTTTGGCTCCCAACCGCAACCGCCGCTACCGCAACAACGAGCTAGTGTAGGTACCTTTGGTCAACGAGCGACGTCGTCTTCTGGGAATCGGTTATCAGGTGGAGAGATCGTCGAGGAACCAGAGTCGGTTGATTCTCTTCCTCCACCTCCTCCTCCGCCTCTACCCTTACCCCCACTTCCACCCCCCGCCCACCAAAACGACCCTTCCACCGACTCTGACACCGACTCAGACTCAGACTCCATCCTCGGCTCAGGCGAAGAAATCCTCATCCAAACAGCCGAAGTCGTATCTGTCCACTCCCCTATAAGCCCCCGCGCCTCCTTCAGCTCTTTCCACGCTCTTTCTCAATTCTCCACCAACTTTTCCAATAATAATGCGACGACGGCGGATGGAAGACCGATGTCACCGACGGTAGGTGTGGAGAAGCCCAAGTTGGTTACGTTGCCTAGTAGTCCGATTATCGGCACGCAGGCGCAGGGGTTGACGTTGAGGAGGGGGGTTAGTGTGCCTATGTTGAGTGAGTTCTGTGTCCGTTTGAGATCTAGGTGTTGGTGTAAGGTGCTGATTTTGGTGTAGGTTCCGATTCGACGGTTTTACCGGGGAAACAGACGGGGACGCCGGTTGGGACGCCTGGGATGGGGAGTTTTAGTGCGTGTGAGTGTCCTCTTTACTTTCCTTTATTACCCAGTGCTCCTTTCATACCAAGAGGAGAGAGACTACACCAATTCCATGGGTTTTTCTGAGTCGTTGGATGTCACCCCTCCCCTCTTCTTTCTCTTTGTGTGCCTGGGCCTATGCGCATCATTCTGTCGTTCTTCTCTCTCTCTTTTGTTGGGTTGTGAGCGGTGTGGGATTTAGGTCTATCTTTTCTTCGTTCCCTTTATCCCAAACTCTCTCGACCTTTCGACCGTCAAGGTCTACAACTCTTCGACCACGAGTACCGGATATGAGCTGTCTCTTTCCACCTCGACTCGTTCATTCGTTTGTCTCGTTTCGTTCTACTCTTTTGCGCCCTTTACCTCATTTCTCTTCTACTCTGGCTTTCTTCCACTGTTTCCGTCCCCTTCCCCTTTTTTTTCTTCTTTTCTCTCCTTTGAACTTGGTTTGTCGAATACGAATACTGATTTACTTCGTCTCATCCAGTATCAACACCCGACAAGATAAAACCTCCACCTCAAGCACCCACCCCCGAGAGCGTACACGGACACGAATACGACGACGGGGACGAACCAGCCATCGACTCGGATACAGAGGCAGAGTACCAAGCTATCCTCAACATGAACGTCCCCCAAGCCCCCACAGAAGTAGCAACAGTCGAAAAAGCCCGAGTCGAAAAGATGGGTCCCTTCAGACTCAGTTTGCCCGGTGCACCACCACCTTCGGAGGTTGAGGGTCTTCGTGTGAAGGCGCAGATCCAGAGAGTGAGCACTATCTCTTCGAATTCGAATTCGTCGGTGAACCCACCACCACATCCACCACCGACGCATCCACCACCTGAACCTCCACGGTCCCCCCATTCTGCAAAGTTGGAGTTCCCGATCCCACCGTCTAGTCCGTCACCTCAGCAGTTGACGTTGACGGTTCCTGTCCCGGGGAGTCCGATGAGTGCGAGTTTCCCTGGTGGGGGGAGGACGAGGTCGAAACGGTACTCAGGGAGTGGAGTCCGTACGCCATCGCCGTTGGTTACGACGTTTGCTGAGGCTGCTACGAGGGAGGAGGAAGGTGAAGAAGGAGATAGAGAGGAGGAGCGTACCACTCCTACCCAGACGACACCCACCAAACAATCACCGACGTTGGCGTTCCCGAGGTCAAGAACGGCTTCTCAACCCACAACTCGGACGGCACTCCCCGTACCACCCGTTTCACCGTCCAAACGGACGTACCTAGAAGGAGTGACTGCAGCTAGGAAGAGAAGTATCAGGGCTTCGCAGGGGGCGTTGAGGTTACCCTACGCTGCTGCTGCTGCTGCACCGCCTGTCCCACCGACACCGACACAGACGACTGTGACGGGTCCCGGGGCGAAACTATACCTGCATACGAATCTCAATGTGAATCTGAACGCATGTTCAACGTCGTCGTCTTCGGGTACATCGTTACCGCTACCCCAACCGTTCCCGTATTCACCGAGCCAGGAACATCCGCATCAGACGAGTGGGGGGTTGACGCCTACCAGTGCTACGCGGGAGAGGGTTCCCTCTACGACTACTACTATCTCGTCTTCTGGGTCGGGTGTGTTGGGACGGGGGGAGAAGGAGGAGGGGTTGATGGGTCCACCGCCTGTACCACCCAAGCCAAAGACGGCACCAGTGAAGAGACTCTCCCAACTCGCACCACGGAGTCGACCGCTCTTGGCTGTGGACGATTTAGTCGTCACCCCAACAGCTACTTCCTCCCATGGCCACAGCGGTGGGGGGGACGACTCGAACAACATGAACTCAACCGCCTCGTCACACGGCCACAGCTACGGATACGAGAACGAAACGCCCCAAGAACGAAGGGACCGAGAAAAACGCGAACGACTCGCTCGGAGGGGGTCGATGGACGAAGAGTCCCTCGTAGCGAATACGAGGAGGAAGACGGAGTTTGGGGAGGAGGATGAGGTTCCGCCGTTACCTTCGGGGTCGGTTACGTATTACTCTTTCCCTCAAGGTTCGGGGTCGCCTTCGAATCTGACTGGGACGAAAAGACCGGTAGGGAGGAGTATCCCCTCGATGTGGTTGGGCGCAGACGAAGCCGCCGCCGCCGCCTCTTCTTCCGGTGGGGGGTTAGGGGGCATGGGGTTCGGGGCGGGGTTGACAAAAAACAAAAGCGTCAGATTCAACACGACGAGTACAGGTGGGTTGATGCATATGTCCGATTCTCCTCCCGGTGGTAGTGGAGGAGGTGCTGGGGGTGGGGGTGGTGGAGGGCTGTTGAATTCGGGAATTCAAAAGTGGAAGTCGATGATTATGAATCAGAGACGCAAGTCCGAGTTGGCTGCTAGTTTGAGGGCGAATGCTGGTCAGGGGAGTGGGAGGTTTAGTTTTAGTTCGGGGGGGAGGGATTAGGAAGCAGAGGAGGTAGGGAGAGAGAGGGGGGGTATGGTTATATCTTCTTTATTCGCTTTCGTTTTTCGTTTTCTTGAGTTATTTCGAATCTGTGGTTCGTTTTTTCGCTTTCGTTCTTTTTTGTTTCCTCTCTCTCTCTCTCTTCTGTCTGGTCTGGCTGCTTCATACGTTTACACTACGCTCGCTCGCTTATATATACATACCACATGGAATACGCATATATCCTGGATTCCCTACATACCGCATCGCACATCACACCACACACACACTCGTTCATATCCATTCCTATCCTATCCTATCCTACTTATCACGTTACATACCCTTTTTTCTGTTTTACTGACTTGATTGAGCGTGCTCAGAGTCGTACAAACCATATCGTATCGCGAAATTCGAACGAACGAACGAAAAGAAAAGAGTCACCGAGTTCACAGGTTCTGAAGGATGTAGACCTATATTATGTGCATTGTCTCAAGTTCGTGTAACGGGGGTATAGCTCAGCTGGGAGAGCAGCAGACTGAAGTGGAACATGTAGCCACTTTCTGAAGGTCCCGCGTTCGATCCGCGGTACCCCCAATGACACTGGTCGCAACTGTTTTTTTGGGGGGAGGAAATATCCCATTTACTTTTGAAAACACCAGCCAACATGTGTTTCCTATTTCAAGACTTGCACTTCTGTTTGATGGTTGATATTCTATGAGAACTCGGAGGTTACCAACGATCATGCCCGTCGGCTGAAGTAGATATCCTAAATGTTCACACTTCGAATGTAGTCCTCCGAATACGATAGGTGGTCCTGGCATGATTGTCTAAACCTTAAAGTGAAGTAAAAGAGTTTGACCGTTCTGTTTGTGTTCCCTCCTCCATCGCCCTGCAAGACTCGGATATCCCAAAACTGCAGGTCCCGGGCACTCGCGTTGATCCTGGTGAATGTTCGCGCCACACTGGTCAAGTTCGCCCTTTAACAAATTACTATCGACTCCGACTGCCTAGTTTAACAATTCAACACGACGCATCTCGCGACAGACGGGTTAGAGAGAGGGAATATAGACCTTTTTGTATATCACGAAACGAGGACCACTCAGGTCATTGTATCGAGTCGAAGGTGTGTTCGCTCATTTCCGGTCGCATCGTCAACGTATACATACCGTATCGAACAAAAAAGGTCACCAAGCGAGGTCGTATTCTGAATAATGTAGGCCGATAACAGACACCTTGGCTGACACTTTTGGAACGGGGGTATAGCTCAGCTGGGAGAGCAGCAGACTGAAGTAAAGCTGTAGCAGGCATGACATTTGTTCGGTTCTGAAGGTCCCGCGTTCGATCCGCGGTACCCCCAGTAACTGTATAAAATAATCGTTTTGTTGGAGATTGAAGAATTTTCTCGTCATTTCCGTGTTTGGTCACTACGGTTCATTGTCAATAACCATAGTCGGTCTTGACCGTATTACGGACAGTAGTCTTAGCACCTGCTTTCAAGTTACATAGCATTTGCGTGCCGACACACCTCACCCCGAGCAAAATGGCTTTCAACCCTGGGTCAGGGACTCTCAGACTTTGGCTCTGGACTCGCCCTTGATTGAGAGCCATTCAATGTTGCACTGAGCAATCAGGGTTGGTCACTGTTGCTCGAATTATTCGCCGCTCCATCCTACGAAACGTGCTCTTATAAATATCATAGATGGCTCAATAATTATTCGAAATTTCATCTCGCACTATGCACGCGCCTGAAGATAAAGAAATACAAGCGACGAAAGGGAAGGGAGGAGTCGGGCAAACCAGCAAACAACCTGGATCGGTGTGGCCCGGCCCTGGTGCATGATGGCTGTGCGCAAGAGAAAGCTACCATCAAATTCCAATGGTTCTGATTGGCTTCTGCACAAACTGTTCACTTATTCGCGATGTCTGTCACAACCACTACCTCCACCCTCTGTTGAAGTAGTACTTCACGCGTCCAGCCACGAACGTTCGTACTTACTCGTTTTAGGCAGCACATGACATACTATATTGGGTGGCTTGTAGATTCCCACGACGTAGAACACAAAACTTTTCGTTTCGCAAAGTCTCACCTCAGTTGACCATACCATCAACTGAGGTGAGCTATTACTATGTTACACACTCCATTCCGTAGACGTCTGTTTTAACAGGTACTTATACTGAATATCAGTTGACCCTACCATCAACTGAGACGTCTGTTTCAACACCCTCTTCTCCCCCTCCTCCTCGAGCAACGAAGCCTGTGAGACTCAAAGATGTCTCATTTCTTTAATCGAGCCCAACATACCAGCTTCTACGGCGACACTCACTTTCAGCATGTTGCCGGAAACGTCACGACACATGTCCACAACTACGGCGGGGGCAGTGAATATGTCGGGGCTTCAGGCTCAAGCTTGAGTTCTTCCTATAAAGATCACGGAGCATCTATCATGGTTCGTCCACTGAAAATCATGGTGAATCACCAAGAACTATTTCAAGTTGTACTGACCTTGAATCGCTGTATACTCGCTCAGCCAATTCGACGCCAATGGAGAGAGATTCCTCGAGGCGACGTGATACTACGCAAGGGACCCTTTCGCTCAGAGAATAGCATGATTCTCTTCCGAAATAACAATCCCTTTCGGAAAGAGAGGATTGGCATTATAAGCACTGTCTATACCGCCGAAGTCGTGCAATTTGGAGAACGTGTATTCACTGTGGTCAGTTTGGAGACAAAGGACAAGAGGGACCAGGAAGCTGCTGCCTGGCTGGTGAGTTAAATTGGGATCTTGTAAGCGTGCATGACGTTGATCAGATTCGCAGATATGGGAACAGTTTCACGAGATGTTGTCTCTACAAACGTAGGCTAAGCTATTGAGTTATTGTGGATGAGGCTGCTCACATCTACAACAAAGTGGGCTTGGATCACCGGGCTTAACACAACTTTTTGGGGTCATCAAGTCTGCGAACGTGTTGAGTTTCATCATGCATGATGGTGATTTAGTTTCTCTATGGTGAACCGACTCTGCTTAATCCTCGTTACAGAACTTCTCAACGGAGACAACTTGATGGATCAATATTATTCAGACTCCGAGTGTCAGGATGGTAGTATCAAGATTATACCATTGTACCTTCAGCACACATTGGTGATTACGATCGGGATTGTTTTTCTATACAGTTCCGGCTACTAAAATAATAGCTTTAGGATACTGCAGTTGAAAAGCTGCGTGCCGATCGGTCGCTGGCGGTCCCAGTGCGTTGATTACTACAAGTCGCCAGTGGCTGGCCAGTAACCTTCGTATCTTTATATTTGAACAGGTGACAGGTGATCCAAGACATTGGATGTTCAGCCTCACAACTTCAGCCTGGCAATACAACATCCTCTCTGTCGCCTCTGGAGGCCGAAGCAAGTTCACATGCGGTTACATGACCCAATTCATCGACTCCTATCGGATACCACCGCCGATTGCACTCCAACAGCCGGAAACACGTCCGCACCTAGATATGAGCAAGATAATTACCTTCGTCGAACAGAGTTTCGGGGATCTCTCGTATCTCCTGGTGTCAAGATCAGTGGTTACGTGGACTGAGGGGGGAAATTCACCATTATACAACGAACGACCTGGCTTTTGGGGGTTTGGGACCGTTGTCCGCAAGTTGCAGACCGATGAGGAAGAAGTTGTCGCCCATCACCCTTCCGAATCAGTTCCGGAATGGCGCTGTCTCAGCATTACCTCCGGTGTCGACGTGAGATATTCTGACTCCGGTATGATGTCCTGACCCAATCCATTTTTTCGGCTGACTCTCTTTAGTCCCTTCACGTGTTGATTTCTCTTACCCCGACACTTATTCGCATTCAACCTACTGTGATCCCAGGGGAGTCGTGCTGCGCATCCGGTTTACGTGGTGCCTTTCAGTTGATGAACGAAACCGATTTCGTGCTGCCTACCTCACCCAATCCCCCTACGTGCTCAGTGATCCCCATGAATGTAGTGAGTGCTCCGTAGCATCTGCCACTCTTTCGCTTGGAAGCTGACATCTATTTCCACTCACTGATAGCCTATCTTGATGCCATTGGATTCTTTCTGCAATCCCTGGATTTGAAACCTATCTCCCTTGCAAATCTACGCTGTCTTCCAGCATATCTCTTTGTTCCACCTCTTCCTATCGAGTGGATTGACAACATGCGCTCCATACATCACCCCCCTTCCTCCCCTGTATTCTACTGGACCTTCGACCCAGAAGGAAAGCATGTCATCCAGGAGCGGGATTGGAAGAAATATAACATTCCTGAACTCCAAGTCGGGCTATCACAAGGTTCCCGGTGGGAACCCTGGATTTACAAAACCATTGAGCACTATATGCACATGAAGGGCTACGATTCGGACTGGAAGCAATATGCTCGAGAACGGGGTTATCCAGAGTTGGTAACAGGTTTGTAGCACTGATATGTGCTGTTCAGCTCAACCTCGCCTCCTGACATCAATACTCGATCTCCAGATTCCCCGTTCGACACGAGACTGAAGGAGCTTTCAGTCGAGGACGCGCCGGGAGATGTTGATGTTCCCATTGATTCAAATTCACCGGCACCACCTGTGTTTTTGTCGACTTCGTCGCTCGCCAAGACGTCTGCTCCGAAATTCGAAGAGGAAACTGGCGAGACAACGACACAGGCATTTGAGGAAGGCGGTTTGACAGGTTTGATGATGGGATTTTTGAAGAAGTGCTGTACGTACATCTGTGAAACACTCATTTGTACTGTTAGAGTCTGATGTGTCCTCCCGCCAGATGATTCATCCGATCCCGGGAAACCTGCTAGAATTCCAGAGTGGAGGAAGGAACGATTGGATGATTGGCCTATGGTTTGTCTGTGATCGACTGCCAGCTTGAGCGCTCAAGAATTGACACTTCTCGCTGAGGCGCCAATTGTCGATTTGGGTGATGCGCCGGAACCTCGGCTACCGTCTCATTTCGGATGTTTTAGAATTATAAAAAAAAGTATACATGACAAGACATCTCCGCAAGCGCTATAACTGAACATGGGGTCCCAGGAGATCACTCACGACGTCCATTGAACTGAGTCAGAGTGATACACTTGTCGTTGCTACACATCGCCTCCAAATCGTGAAAGCATAGGAGACTAGGTCGGGTGACCTGCGTGTGAAGGATTCGGGTCATACGCCGGCGGACTCGCAAAAATATCTGCTAGGCGTCTGGACCTCCCGCGGCCTGTTTCCTGACGGTCGGTAGACAGTGGTCTGTGGTCAGTGTCAGGTTGGGAATAGATGACCTGGGGGCCAAGTTTCCAACCATTTGACAAGCTGTCAAGAACTCCATTCATTCCCTGTGCATGCCACACTACGACGTATCCATCCGCATATCCTGTGACTAAACAGCGGAGGTCGTCCGAGTATGCGATGGTTGTCACGGGAGATGGCGCTCTTCCTTGAAGATGGTAGTCGTACGTGTGATGGGCATGAAATTCCCATCTCCCTTCCTTCAAGCTATTCTCGTTGACTGTCCATACGGCGATGCGGCCATCCGATAGCCCACAAGCTAATTGGCCTCGGCAGAAGTCGAACGAACGCAGGGTGACACCCTGAAACAGCCCTATCGTACCATAGAGTTCGGAGGTTGATGAGCCATCTATACAACGCCTGGCCGTGAACACGCCATCCGAGGTCGCCGATAGGAAGTAGCCTTCTCGAAGAAAACGAACTTCCCTAGGATCGTTAGGCCCTCGTTGTATCGTCCTTCCAATCGGCGTCCCCGTCCTATAATCCCATAGACGTATCGTATCATCGTTCGAGACAGAGACCAGTCTCGAGCTATCTGGTGATACGGTCACCGAGAACACACGTCTTCCATGTCCATGGAACACAAGCTCAGAAGGGTCGAGCTTACGGGTATCCCGATTGACCTTCCAAAGCTTACATGAGCAATCGAGTCCGCTGGAAACGATGTGCTCCGCATCAGATGAGAATGAGACGGAGAGTGTGCCATCATTGTGCCCTTCACTTGTGGATATCCACTGAGAGCCACGAGCCACATCCCACGCCCGTATAGCTCCGTCCATTGAGCCCGACACCAGCATCAGCTTATCAAAGTTGGAGTCTTTGGGGGAGAAGCTGACCGACGTGACCTGATTTGTGTGGCCTCGCAGAGTTCGAACGATACGGCCAGTGGAAAGATCGTAAACCGGGATCGCCGTTTGAGCGGAGGCGACTGCGAGATAGTATGGTCGTCCTCTCCCGAGGGGGTCAAACGAACCACCTCTGGAGAGCGCGAGAGACTCGACGTGAGCATCCAAGCAAATTTTGAAGATTTGAGCTACGTGGTAGGGTCGTTGAATATCTCTTGCTT